CGACCCTGCGCAGAGACACCGAGGGTCTCCCGGACCGCGCAGTGGACCTATGGGATAGGCTCGCTCATCCACTCCGCCGCGTCCGGCAGCCCAGCGGAGGCGGCGCGGCGCCGCCGCCGCTGTCCTTCCGCGCCGTTTGGGCAGTGAGAGAGGGCGCAGGCGGTCGACGGGAGGAGGACGTGTGGGGGTCTCGAGGCGTTGTGGGAGAGCTAGAGCCGGACCGCTCGAGGTCGTCGCTCCTGCGGCGGCGGACGAGGGGACTCGTGAGTATTCGGAGGCGGCGCAGAGTGCGTGAACGCAAGAAGGGCGCAATGGCGAAACAGAGGCGCGGTTAGCGAGAGCGGCTCGCGGGATGATGTTTGAGTGGCGCATTCGTGAGAAAATACGGAGGGGGGGGCCGTGGCCGGATACCGGATTGCATGCCTGTCCACCAATCAGAACGCAAGCCGAACTGCAGCCATCACCGTGCCGTGGCGGCTCGGCGCTTTGCGGCGGCGAGTCGGCGAGCCCTGCGGCTGCACGGTCCAGACCAGAGGGCGCGACGAGCGACGCGCGGCCGTCGGCGAGGGCGAGGCCGCCGGGCGGGCGGGCGGGGAGCGGCGACGAGGCGCGGCGGGCCGTGCTCGGGCGGCGCCGGGCTCGAAAGTTGCTCCGGCCGTTGCGCGCCGCTGCAGGGCGGGTGCGGATCGAAATCGAGGGTCGACTCGCGTGCTGAATGGTGGAGGGGCATCAATCTCAAACACAAACAACTCAACCATGGTCAAGGGTGGTCGCGGTGGCTCCAAGAAGAAGGCGACGTCTCGCTCGGCGAAGGCGGGCCTCCAGTTCCCGGTCGGGCGCGTGCACCGGCACATCAAGCTCGGCCGCTACGCCTCGCGCATCGGCGCGGGAGCGCCGGTCTACCTGGCCGCCGTCCTCGAGTACATGGCGGCCGAGGTGCTCGAGCTCGCGGGCAACGCCGCGCGCGACAACAAGAAGTCGCGCATCATCCCCCGGCACATCACCCTCGCGGTGCGCAACGACGAGGAGCTCAACAAGTTCCTCGGCGGCGTGACCGTCGCGCAGGGCGGCGTCCTCCCCAACATCCACTCGGTGCTCCTGCCGAAGAAGTCCAAGAAGGAGTGAGCTCTCTGCTAGCCTTCAACCAACCCCCGGTGTTTCTAAACACCACCCTTCTCTCAAGGCCTTCCCCACTCCCCTCGCCCTGTGTGCCCATCGAAGCTCTCTCCACCATCGTTTCTTTTTTCACTGTTCCCGCCGGCCTGTGGCCTGTCTGTCCCTGTGCGCCGGGGATCGTGGCATTTGTGTGCTCTTCGTCGATAGAGCGGCGCTTGGGGTTGGGCCTTGGCCGGCCCGCTTGCTGCTCTACCCAGACGTGTGTGCGTGTGTGTTTGTTCTCTGGTATGTTTGCTTTCCTTCCGACTTCCGTATATAATGGGTTGCGCTCCAAGTTATTCGTTGGCCTAAGGTTTCTTCTTTGAGGCTCGCGGGCCCGCACGCCGCT